AACTCTGCTTCCTGGATCTGGATGTCAGTTTCCTTCCCCAGGTTAGAGAAGTTTTCAGCCATTATTTCTTCAAATAAGTTTTCTACTCCCTTCCCTCTCTTTTCTCCTTCCAGAACCCCTATAATGTGAGGGTTGGTCAAGTTGATGTTATCCCATAGGTCCCATAAGCTATCTTCACTTTTTTTCCTTGCTCTGATTGAATGAGTTCTCCTGCCCTATCTTTGAGTTCACTGATCTATTCTTCTGCTTCATCTAGTCTGTTGTTGAATCCCTCTAGTAGTTTGTTTTTGTTTTTGTTGTTTTAAGTCCAGTTATTGTATTCTTCAGCTCTGTGACTTCTGCTTGGTACTTTCTTACATTTTCTGTCCCAATCTTAAAGGAATGGTCTCATGTAGGAGATGAACCTTATTATTCAACTGTGCCCAGCTCTTGGTTGTCTATCCCAACTTTGTGATTGTCCAAGTAGCCTGTTCTTAATAGCTCACAGTAGTTGAGCGTGTGCCAAGACCTGTCAGTGTCCCAAAGGGGAGGATCTCATTCAGTGCTTAGATACAGGCTGATTGGAAGCCAGACCTTCAGGTAGCAGCTTTTATACTGTGGACATACACCTGTCAGTGGAAGACAGAGATGGGCGTTTGTCTGATCCTTCTGTACTGAGCGCTGCGGTGATAGCTAGTTGTGAACTATTTCTTTGTTTGCTACCATCCCACTGAAACTGTGAACACAAGCCCTACTGGCCTCTAGAGCCAGGTGGTCAAGGGGGCATCTCGTGGGCAGCAACAACAAAAACCACAGTGCCGGACATGTGCGCAGGCTCCTTTCTGGGAGATACCAGCAACCTGCAGCGAGGCATGGGGAGAGTGCAAAGATGGGACCATCCAGCCCCCCATCTCTGGAGAGTATTGCTGTCAGCCCCTTGACGTTTGTTAAAATAGAAGCCTGCCCTTCCAACTGCCTTATAGTTACTAAGATAAGCAAATAGGCCTCTTCGATAGGAAGACTGGTTTCAGCGTACTTACTGCCTCTGCTGGCCCCCGGGGTTGAGCCGTGGTTAGTAGGTGCAAGCCCTCTAAAAACTGCCTCTTAACTTGCTGTCGTCTGGTGGGTGTCACCGATGCAGGTTTCGTTGGCTTTCAAAGCCTGATGTTTTGGGAGCCCGTATCTCAGCTAGAAGTCTTAGAAGTTGGAAGACAGGATGTGGGGTCCAAAGCCTTTGCTCCTCAGGGAGACGCTGGGAGTTTTGAGTTCCCTCCTGGTTGTGTGTTGTCGCACCAGGGGTGGTGTTTCTGGCAAGATTGTGTTTCATCCTGTACTATCAGTTTTAGTATGGGTTTTTTCTCAATTCTGGATTTCTTTCAGAGGGAATTACTCTCTATGTAGCTACAGATTCAGTGTGTCGGTGTGAGGAGGTCAGTTAAGGATCTTCCTGTGTCACCATCTTGAACCAGAACTGGGTGATCTTTTTTTAGTCTTCAACTTTAAGAAATTTGCAATTCCTATACTGCCTAGACTGTTCGAGAGCATTGAAAAAGATGGAAATAGTCTCAAACTGATTCATTTAACAACCTGATATCAAAACCTGACAAGGATAGCATGAAAAAACTATTAATCTGTCTCATTTATGAATAAGATATAATGATTCTCAATAAAATATTAGCAAATCAAATCCATCACGGTATTAAAGTAGTAATATACCATGGCCAAATGGACGTGCAAGGAAGATTCATATTGGGAAATATATTAATGTAACTTACAGCATTAACAGATTAAAAGTGAAAATACATGACCTCATAATAAAAAGGCATTTGATTATTATTACTTTTTTTTTAAGAATTATTTATTGAGAGAGAGAGCACACAGAGGGAGAGGGAGAAGCAAACTCCCTGTTGAGCAGGGGGAGTTTGATCCCAGGACCCCAGGATCATGACCTGAGCGGTAGGCAGACACTTAACCGACTGAGCCACCCAGGTGCCGCTGAATATTCTTTCTTTTTTTTTTTTTTTAAAGATTTTATTTATTTATTTGAGACAGAGAGAATGAGAGAGAGAGAGCACATGAGAGGGGGGAGGGTCAGAGGGAGGAGCAGGCCCCCTGCCGAGCAGGGAGCCCGATGCGGGACTCGATCCCGGGACTCCAGGATCATGACCTGAGCCGAAAGCAGTCGCCCAACCAACTGAGCCACCCAGGCGCCCCTGAATATTATTTCTGATAAAAACTTTTTTCCTGATACTTTATACATTACAAAGTGATCTCCATAAGTCTAGTTACCATCTGTCATCATACAAAGTTATTACAATATTATTGAGTCACCTTCCCTATGCTGTACTATACATTCCCATGATTTTTTTCTTTTATAGCTGGAAGTTTTTACCTCTTAATCCCCTTCACCTGTTTCATCTGCCCCCAAATCCCTCCCACGTCTGGTAACCAGCAGTTTGTTTCTTGTATCTATGAGTCTGTTTCTGTTTTTTGTTTATTTTGTTTTTTAGATTCTACATATGAGTGAAATCATATGGTATTTGTCTTTCTTTTTACTTAGCTTAATACCTTCAAGGTCCATCCATGTTGTTGCAAATGACAAAAATTTCAATATTTTTTATGACTGAATAATATTCCATTGTACACCACTTCTTTACTCATTCATCTGTCAGGGGACACTTGGGTTGCTTCCACTTCTTGGCTCTTATAAATAATGCTGCAAGAAAGGGGTGCATATATCTCTGTTCAAATTAATGTTTTCATTTTCTTCAGATAAAAACCCAGGAGTGGAATTGCTGGATATAGGGTAGTTGTATTTTTAATTTTTTGAAGAACCTCCATACTGTTTTCCCTAGTGGCTGCACCAGTTTGCATTCCCACCAACAGTGCACAAGGGTTCTCTTTCCTCCACATCCCCACCAACTCGTTATTATTTGTGTTTTGATAATGGCCAGCCTGACAGGTGTGAGGTGATATCTCACTATGGTTTTGATTTGCATTTCCCTGATGATGGGTGATGAGCATCTTTCCATGTGCCTATGGGCCATCTGGATATATACTTTGGGAAAATGTCTATTCAAGTGTTCTGCCCACTTTTTAATCAGGCTCTTTGTTTTCTGCCACGTTTGTGTGTACAAAACCACACAACTTCAGAGGTGCACCTTTGGAACCAGTTAGAGTCTTAGATCAACCCCCCCTTTTTTAATAGATGAGAAAGTTGAGACCCCAAAAGAAATTGAATGACTTCCCTGCACTCTGTATTTTCATTTCTCTGGTTTTTGCTACTAAGTACCTGTGTGGCTTCAGGTCAATCTTTAAACAGTCCTAGCTTGAGTTTCCTGGTGTGTAAAAAGAGAAGTTTGGATGAACCCCCAAATTCTTTCCTTTCTAAAAATCTGTTTTTGTCATTCTTTCACTTTTCAAATATTTTGGGGGTGAAATCCTGTTTTACAAAGTGCAAATGAGGCAGGTAATGGATTCAGGAGTAAAAGCCGAGTCCAGAGATCCTAATTATAAGACTTGGGAGTGAGGAACTGCTGGTTTCTTGGCTTTTAGATTTTCCTAACAGGTTTCTCATTTGGCTTTCTCAGGACATCGTATCACCTATTGTTTCCCACAATCTGTACTTGACCCCTTCATCATATTTTTCTGTGATTCATCTTTAAACAATATATTTAATTATTTTCATTACAGGAGTAGAATGTATTTAAAAAATCAAAGTGCTCATAAGCATGGGGTAGAAAATAAGTCATTCATAATCCAGCGCCCAGAGATAATCACCTTTAATAATTTGGTATGTATTTTTAGAAAGAAGAGGTACAGGGCTCCTGGGTGGCTTAGTTGGTTAAGTGGCTCAGGTCATGGTCCCAGGGTCCTGGGATTGAGCCCCGCATCGGGCTCCCTGCTCAGCTTCCCACTCCCCCTGCTTGTGTTCCCTCTCTCGCTGTCTCTCTGTCAAATAAATAAATAAAAATCCTTAAAAAAAGAAAGAAAAGGTCTGCTTAATGTAAATCCTTGCCTCTAGGCAAGTATTCTATTGGATACATGTACCTGGTTTTTTTAAAAGAAGAAACAGAAAATGCTCTGGCATGCGGTGCCTTACTAAGAAATACCGAGTGACCATTGGCTCATTTCTTTCTTTCTTTTTTTTTTTTAAAGTAGGTGTACCTGGTTTTTTTAAAAGAAGAAACAGAAAATGCTCTGGCATGTGGTGCCTTACTAAGAAATACCGAGTGACCATTGGCTCATTTCTTTCTTTCTTTTTTTTTTTTTAAAGTAGGTTCCATGCTGAGTGTGAAGCCCAACACGGGGCTTGAACTCACCACCCTGAGATCAAGACTTGAGCTGAGATCAAGAGTCGAATGCTTAACCAACTGAGCCCCCTAGGTGCCCCCACTGGCTAATTTCTTAATGTCTATAAGCCTCAGTTTCCCATCTATAAATTGAGAATTATAATAGTATCTTCTTCCAAAGGTTAAATGAAGATTAAACTAGATAAAGCACATGAAGTGCTTAAAACTGTGCCTGGCATCAGAGTGTGCATTCAGTATTGTTTAAAAAAAACTTTTAGGGGCACCTGGGTGGCTCATTGGTTAAGCGTCTGACTTCAGCTCAGTTCATGATCCCAGGGTCCTTCGATGGAACCCCACATCTGGCTCCACACTCAGCAAAGAGTTGGCTTCTCCCTCTCCCTCTGCGCCTCCCCCTGCTTGTGCTCGCTCACTTTCTCTCTCTCATATAAATAAAGTCTTTTAAATTAAAAAAAAATTTTTTTAGGGGCACCTGGGTGACTCAGTCAGTTAAGGGTCGGACTGGATTTTAGCTCAGGTCATGATCCCAGGGTCATGTGATTGAGGCCCGTGTCAGGCTCATGCTGGACGTGGAGCCTGCTTAAGATTCTCTCTCCCTCTGCCCCTCCCCTCTGGCCCTCTACCCCTGTTCACGCACTTGTGTGCTCTCTCTTAAAAAAAAAAATTTTTTTTAATCTCATACTGATTTTAAGTAACTTTGTTCTTCTGCAGAAGACTTAACCAATGGCTCGTATGATGATGTCCTAAACGTTGACCAGCTCCAGAAACTCCTCTCCCTGCTTGAGTCAGTTGATGATCCTGTCATTACAGAAAAAGCTTTGGTCACTCTGGGTAACAATGCAGCCTTTTCAGCTAACCAAGTAAGTACCTCGTCTCACAATGGGCGCCTCCCATTCTTACACACTAGCAGTTAATTGTGACTCTGATGAGGCATTTAATCCCGGAGCCTCACTCTCCTCATCTGTACAGTGCGGGGATGTGTACTTACAGCACAGTGTTTATTTCTGAAAAGCAAGGCCGAATAGTGACATTCGTATTCCTGGGATTCTAGATCCCTAGGAATTGGTCACATTTGTGATAAGTGTGATCTACTCCACTTAGCATTGCGTGGCCTTTTATTTAAAAGTCGGTAGTGTTGGGGCGCCTGGGTGGCTCAGTCGTTAAGCGCCTGCCTTCGGCTCAGGTCATGATCCCAGGGTCTTGGGATCGAGCCCCACGTCGGGCTCCCTGCTCCTTGGGAGCCTGCTTCTCCCTCTGCCTCTCTCTCTCTCTTTGTCTCTCATGAATAAATAAATAAAATCTTTAAAAAATAAATAAATAAATAAAAGTCGGTAGTGTTGCAGGAGAACAGTGAAAGCATCTAACATTGAAGAACATGCTTTCCATTGTATGTAGGTCTTGGGGGGGGTTTCTGATGCATGGGGGCCATGGGCCATTGACAACTGCTAACCAGTGTAAACAGCTTCTACCAGTAGAGATTTAACACCAGTCTAAAGCACTTAATTTGAATGCTTCCTTCTCCCCATGGAGAAAGAGTTTAAAAAAAAAAAATTGTAATGATTTTCAGCTGATGCCTTTTGTTGACCTTTGTCATGAAAACTAAATTATGTTGAATTTATACTCTGTTTCAGTCAAGTATTTTCCAGCATGGCAAGGTTTACTGTAAAGCTCTTGAGATTTAAAGGATATTTGTTGATTACCCATATTTTTTCCGTTGCAAGTGACAGAACCCAACTTAAATTATTTTAAACCAAAAAAGGAAAATACTGAGCCCCATTAACTTGGACATCCAACAATGGCCCTGGCTCAGGCACAAATGAAAACAGTTTAAGGTTACAGAGAGCACGATCAGAGTTCTCCCTCCCTCCATCTTTTGGGTCTGCTTAGCCTTGCTCCTTTTTTGTGTATTGGGCTTTTTTTTTGTCCCTCTGGCCACAAAGAGGTTTTCATCACTGGGATGTAAAGAAAGCCCCTGGTCTCCAAAGCCTTCATCCCTGTGGCTCATGATCCAAATGGTGGAGTTGCTCGGCCAGGATCAGGTGCGGTGCTAAGGCACCCCGAGCTCCCGGGAGCATCGCACAGCCCAACAGCAGCGATGGATGGGAGCACATTCAGCCAGCAGCCCCATCGGGGACTAGATGGGATAGAGGAGGTGCTCTGTCTGCCCCAGTGGGGAGAGATGCCACGCAAACAAAAACAACAGATGGTGACTAATTGGAGCTGTTTCTGATGCCATCGTTTTAGATCCTCTGAAACAAACTGTAGGGATAATGGATCCATGGTCACTGGTTGAACAAGCACTTTCCTGGGCAATGGGAGTCCGTGTCCCTCGTCATAAATTATAGTGCCTTGATCTGCCTTAATAGGGTAGTTTTGGGGTTTTTTTAAGATTTTATTTATTTGACAGAGAGACACAGCAAGAGAGGGAACACAAGCAGGGGGAGTGGGAGAGGGAGAAGCAGGCTCCCCGCTGAGCAGGGAGCCCAATGCGGGGCTCGATCCCAGGACCCCGGGATCACGACCTGAGCCGAAGGCAGCCGCTTAACAACTGAGCCACCCAGGTGCCCCTTAATGGGATAGTTTTAAAAAAAAAACAAAAAACAAAAAACTGTTTTCTAGTAATCACAAATCCTTAGGAAGAACCTGGGATTGCACAGGGAGTTTCTTTTTTTGTCCCAGTGCTGAGCCCACTCTTGACGGTAGCGTAGGGCTTGGGGCTGTTGGTAAAAAGTGCATGATGCCAGGATACTCTTTCCTTCTTTTTCTCATAGAAGGGCATGTTTTGTCCTGACAGGAGTAATTCTCAGCTTATTTTTCTTGTACGAATTGAAGCAGTTAATGTATCGTTCAGTTGGGGCCAAAGGCGCAGAATAGCATAGTGTTGCAACCGATTGTGAAAATTCCCCAGATTATTTTTTCTTTGAAAATTTGGGCATCATTTCACAAATTGTGTAGAACTCTAATTCTTCAAGATGTTGAAAGGTGCTTCCCCCTACATCCACCCCCCCACTGAGAAATGACCCTCTTTTTTTGTGTACAGTTTATGGAAATACTCTATTCCGTGCTCCCCTCTTGGAGATTCCCAGCACTCATGAACATGTGACTGCTCCACAATAAAGAAGTGTCTGCACTTACACCCAGAGTTTCTCAGACTTACCTACCTAACCACAGAACCTCCCTTGTCTTAATGGAACGTCTGTTAACATCTTGAAGGATTTGTATTCCAAAGAATACATTTTAGCAAAATGTTACTTTAGTATCCTAAATCATAACACTTTTCCAAATGTGTCTGTAATAGAAAAGTATTTCCAAGTAAAATAATTTGTTCGTAAATTGCTTTGAGATCATTTCAGTAGCTCTACAAATCATTGTAGATCCCCAAGCTATAGTTTTTAAACAATTATATATCTTAATTTATTTTCAATCTATTTTCTTTACCTTTAAAATTACAGAAAGCATTTTTTTAAAGTAAGAATTACAGATTGTGCATAGGAAAGGTATTTCCAAAGAGTCATTAATTTTTATTTGTATTTGTGGATGCAAAAAATTTGATGAAGGGAGTATGTATTGAAGTGATGGTCCTGTTTTTTTCCCCTCTTAGGTCATTATTCGTGAATTGGGTGGTATTCCAATCATTGGAAGCAAAATCAACAATCCCAATCACAGTATTAAAGAGAAAGCTTTAAATGCATTGAATAACCTGAGTGTGAATGTTGACAATCAAGTCAAGATAAAGGTAAGTTATCTGAAATTGCAAATGACTAAGTTTTCTATAAATGAGAGAAAACAACCATAGGGTTAGCTAAGACCTCCATCACCTCACATAATTACCCTTTTTGTCTACATGGTGAGAACATTTACGATCTATTCTCTTAGCACCTTTCAAGTATATAATACAGTGTGGTCATCCTGCTGTACATTAGATCCCGGAACTTATAACTAGAAGTTTGTACCTTGTGAGCAGATCTCCCCATTTCATGTATCCCTCCACCCCTGGAAGCTACCATGCCACACTCTTGTTTCTGTGAGTTCGGCTTTTTTAGATTCCACATATACGAGATATCTCCAGTATCTGTCTTTTTCGGTCTTATTTCACTTAGGGTAATGCCCTGAAGGTCTATCCCTTTGTTGCTAATGGCAGGATTTCCTTCCTTTTTATGGCTGAATAGTTTTCCATTGTATACACAGACCACATTTGCTTTATTCGTTCATCTGTCAATACAGGTTGTTCTTGTGTCTTGGCTATTATGAGTAATGCTGCAGTGAACACGGGGGTGCGTATAGCTTTCCAAATTATTCTTCTCAAGGTCTTCAGATGAATAACCCAGAACTGGAGTTGCTGGATCATATGGTAGTTTGTATTTTTAATTTTTCGAGGAACCTCCATACTGTGTTCCATAATGGCCGTGCCAATTTACATTCCCACCAGCAGAGCACAAGGATTCCTTTTCGCCACATCCTCACCAGCCCTTGTTGTCTTTTTGACAGTAGCCATTCTAACAGGTGTGAGGTGATATCTCATTGTGGTTTTTACTTGGATTTCCCTAATGATGAGTGATGTTGAGCATCTTTTCATGTACCTATTGACCATTTGTAGGTCTTCTTGGAAAAAATATCTATTTAGGTCCTCTACCCATTTTTTATGGAGAATAAGGCAGAGGAAGGAGGAATCTGAACCAGCCAATAAGAGCTGCATTGGGCTTTTGAATTTGGGTTTCACTTTAATCCAACTGTGGTGAAGGAACCTGGCCAGAGTCTGGTAATATCAGCAGATAAATAAAATAAATTAGGAACTTATGTTATTTCAACATTTATTGAGCTTCTGCTCTGTGGTACAGAGTTTAGAAACGAACATGATTAACTCTTGTTTTAAGAAAGCTAGAAGGAGAGAAAAAGCAAGGTGTAATGCAAGGTAGAACATGATGACGTACTTTAAGGAAAAATGTAAAACATTGTTGAGTACATAGAAAGGAGAGATCTCATCCAAAAGTTTTGTAAAAGGTTGAGTACAGCTTGGCTCTAAAGAATGTCTAAGGTTTTGGGGCATCTGACTTTTGGTTTCGGCTCAGGTCATGGTCCCAGGGTCCTGGGATGGAGCACCTGTCAGGCTCCCCACTCAGCACAGGGTCTGCTTGTCCCTCTCCCTCTGCTCCTCCTTCTCTCCCTCCCTCCCTCTCCCGGGATTAAATAAAATCTTTAAAAAAAAAAAGGAATGTCTAACAATTCTACAAGCAGAATTGGGGAAGGAGGGAATTCCAAGAGAAAGCAGAGCAAGGGGAGGTAGGCACAGCCCCAGAAATAACTGAGCTGGTCCACTTGGTGATCTTGTTGCTAAACGTGAACTGGTGAAAAGACTCAAAGATAATAAGGATCTAAATGCTCAACACATTTTAGGAAATGCTTTGAAAGACATCAGCATCTTATGAAAATATATGATTTATAAAGAGCTGAGGAAATGGCATTTTTTTTTTTGAAGGACAGATGTGTGATGAAATTGTGGCCAAAGAGAACCAGGTGGCTCGTAAATGTCATTTAGCTCTGAACCAGGATTAAAAATTTATTCTCTCTTTGCTTTACTGCCATTACTCTAGTTTCTGTGGCAACATGGATACTTTTGGATTTTTTCTAAAACTTAATATTAATACTGGCCTATGGGACAGTTGGTCATTTCTTAGCATTTTATATTAGGAACTTTTTCTTTTTTTTTTTTTTTTAAGATTTATTTATTTGAGAGAGCGAGAATGAGAGAGAGAGAGAGTACATGAGAGGGGGGAGGGTTAGAGGGAGAAGCAGGCTCCTTGCTGAGCGGGGAGCCCGATGCGGGACTCGATCCAGGGACTCCAGGATCATGACCTGAGCCGAAGGCAGTCACTTAACCAACTGAGCCACCCAGGCGCCCCTAGGAACTTTTTCTTAATCAGTTAGAACTTTGGGTGGAGTTTTTAGTTAGGTGAATAGTAATTATCTGTGAGACATAGTTTTTCCAAGCTGGAAAGATCCTGGCCAGAAATAGAAAACAGTTTCAGAAAAGTTTCCATCACAGTGGGTTTCGTTCTGTCGTGTGTGAAACAGGAGTCTTGCAGGCATTGCATTACGTTTTGCCAGTGGAGCTCACCAGCATCAGGAAGGCCCAGATCATATACATACACCTGGGTAAATGAGAAAATTGGGCCAAAGATCGTTTTGCCTCTGCTTACTTTTGATAGAAGTAACCCTAGAGAAAAATTCTATTTCACTTTGATCCCCCTATTCTGACATGATGCAGCTCCTCGACCCTGTTGTTAAGGTACTTACCGCGATGCAGAATGGCCACACAGGTCTTTCCTCCCCTATACTCATGGATCCAAAGCAGTCGACACAGAAAGGAAGACTGAGCTGGGAGGCCCCCAACAGTTGAGAGCCCCCTGGTGTTGAGAGCAGGGTCTCTGGAGTTGGACATTGTGCCCCCACCTGCTGGCTTGATATGGGGCGGGGATCCGAGTTCCTTGAGGACTTGTCCTTGTCTGCAGAATGGCCATTAATAACACCCACCTTAGTAGAGGTGTCTTCCGGAGTAAGTGAGATGTTTTTGTAAAATGCTTGCATATTGCCTGGCATTAACAAAGGTAGCTTTAAAAAAAAAAAAATCACCGAAGTTTGAGGGCGGGATAGAAATGCCATCTTTTTTGAGGAGCCAGCCTCCCCCTAACTGTCCTCCCCCGCTGTGCAGAGAAGTTACTGTGTCATAGACAAACTTATGGAGATTCTAAGATGCTCACTTTTTCCCCCCACCTCTAGGTTTACATCAGTCAAGTCTGCAAGGATGTCCTCTCTGGGCCCCTGGACTCTGCTGTGCAGCTGGCTGGGCTGAGATTGTTGACCAACATGACAGTTACCAATGACCACCAGCACATGCTTAGCAAGTACATCACAGACCTGTTCCACGTGCTGCTTACAGGCAATGGAAGTACCAAGGTACGAATGAAGCCATTAGGAGTTGGGAGTACAAAGAGCTGTTGCCTCAAGCATATTAAGATTGGAATTGAATTTCTAAGTCCCCCACCTTAAGTTGATATTCCTCAAAAAAGCACACGTTTAGTTAAAGTTCATTTTTTTTTTAAGATTTTATTTATTTATTTGAGAGAGACAATGAGATAGAGAAAGCATGAGAGGGAGGAGGGTCAGAGGGAGAAGCAGACTCCCTGCCGAGCAGGGAGCCTGATGCAGGACTCGATCCTGGGACTCCAGGATCATGACCTGAGCCGAAGGCAGTCGCTTAACCAACTGAGCCACCCAGGCGCCCTAAAGTTCATTTTTAAAAAAGCCTTTTTGTGAGCCCAAGAAAGTAAATTATTTTTATCCCTCAGTAATCAATTTGAAAATGAATTAGTGAAAATGTGTTATTTCACTTATCAATAGATTGGCATTCATTTGCTCTTCTGAAAATCAGTTTACCTTTTACTAAAGTGGTGTAGCTGGCTTCCCCTCCACATCAGGTTTAATTATACATAATTGATTAAAAGGGGTCTTTGAGTGATAATGCTGGTTGAGTTTTTTGCTCACCTCGAGGTTAGAAACATTTTTTTGATTTAGCCATTTGCAGAAAAGATGTTTTGAAAACCACTTTTAAGTTAGTAATGGATGTCTGGGTGCTTTTTTTTTTTTTTTTAAGATTTTATTTATTTATTTGACAGAGAGCAAGAGCAGGAGCACAAGCAGGGGGAGTGGGAGAGGGAGAAGCAGGCTTCCTGCCGAGCAGGGAGCCCGATGCAGGGCTCGATCCCAGGACCCTGGGATCATGACCTGAGCCGAAGGCAGATGCTTAACGACTGAGCCACCCCGGCACCCCAATAATAAGTGTTCTTTTTTTTTTTTTTTTAAAGATTTTACTTATTTATTTGACAGAGAGAGAGAGAGCGAGAGCAGGAACACAAGCAGGGGGAATGGGAGAGGGAGAAGCAGGCTTCCCGCCGAGCAGGGAGCCCGATGCGGGGCTCGATCCCAGGACCCTGGGATCATGACCTGAGCCGAAGGCAGATGCTTAATGACTGAGCCACCCAGGTGCCCCTGGGTGCTTGATTTTAACCAGTTACGCAGATGTAGGAGGCAACAGAGATTGACCTACTTAAGTAGGATCTCAGGAGACACCCCGTGAAAGTAACTTGAGTAAACCTCTGCTATTAGTGGGCATTTTTCTCAAGTGCCATTTTTCAAGAAATAGCATAAAAACAGAAGGTAGACTAATCAAAGGCTCTGATGAGTTGGGTTGGTCATTCGTCAGCGTTTTACTCTATTGGTCTGTGTTGTCTGGCACAGGTGGGAGAAGAACGCAGTTAGGGCCACACTCCAAATATTCAACATCACTGAGGTTCTTTCTGGGGTTACCCAATGTGGTTTCAGGAGAGCCTCACTATAGCCCTTTTAAAATTTGCTCTGGGCTTTCCACATTTCCAGTAGCCAGAGTTAGCTGGATCTGGCCTAAGATGTACCCAAAGGCATTCAAAATTAAATGTAATAATCTTATTAGCAATATTTTTGAAATATGCTCCATCCATAGGCAATTTCCAAAATGCATGCACCCATCGACATCTCTCTGTCCAGTGGAACAAGGTAACTTCCAGCCTCTGAGGCCCCAGGGAAACCCTTACCTCTACCTTATAGCATCACAAATACAGGACAGATCTCCTCTGCCTGTGTCTGCAGCTGCTTTACCCAAAACCTCAGGAGGAACAAGAGGTTCAGAGCCAGGCGAGTCTGGCCTTGGGGCCATATGGATCTGTCTCAGACACGGTCTGTGTTTCAATATATTTTATGACTTCTTAGAAGATGACTCACACCACAATAGTATGTTCTTTTTTTGTTTTGTTTTTCCATTCCATTGCCTGGTACGGCGTTTCTGGGATAGAAAATTTGCTTTTTTGGTCTGTTTGGGAACCTGATCACCAATTATAACATTGTTTCTCCATAAAAAATGAGTGTAAAGTTCCAAGTTGCAAATGAACTTTTGGACAGTAATCCATTTGTGAGAAAATCTACCCATTTTAGATATTTTCTTAATAAATAACCACCGAAATGACTTTTTAGAAATCTTATTTTTAGGGGCGCCTGGTGGCTCGGTTGTTAAGCGTCTGCCTTCGGCTGATCCCAGGGTTCTGGGATCGAGCCCCGCATTGGGCTCCCTGCTCCGCAGGAAGCCTGCTTCTCCCTCTCCCACTCCCCCTGCTTGTGTTCCCTCTCTCGCTGTGTCTCTGTCAAATAAATTTTAAAAATCTTAAAAAAAAAAAAAACTTATTTTTTTTTTAAATGTTTTATTATTCATGAAAGTCAGAGAGAGAGAGAGAGGCAGAGGCAGAGGGAGAAGCAGGCTCCCCGCCTAGCAGGGAGCCCGATGCGGGACTCGATCCCAGAACCCTGGGATCATTACCTGAGCCGAAGGCAGACGATTAACCATCTGAGCCACCCAGGCGCCCCCAAAATCTTATTTTTAATAAGAGATCTCAGCGTACTGTAACAACCTTTTGGGCGCAACACTGATTCGTAACCAAATATAAATAATAGAAGATTAACATAAATAATTCTTGTGTTAATAAAACGGCAGTGAGAGCAAAGAAAACTAATGGCTTAAAGGAAATGTCGTGGAGTCACCACGAGACAGCACATGTGGTAAGAGAAAGCGAGGACTTAACATGGTTCAAACCAAAATACTACCCAGGTGTCCCCGCTCCCCAGATGTAGGCCGTTCCCCATGAAACCTTTCCTAAGCCAAAATGGCCGGAAGCACAGCGCCGCTTACCAGTAATTTATATGGAGACATTTTTGAGTGTTCCCAGAACCCCCCACCCCCCCAAAAAAAACCTCTCAGACTTTTCTGATAGCTTGGAACATATCTTGCTAACAGATGCACCAAATAAATCAAGATAAGCACAGATGTTCACACAGTTCAGAGATCTGGCTGCTTGATGCAGATGTGCTGAGTGTACATCGGGGGGGGGGGCTGTTGCCCCCCCACCCCGCAATGCTCGCTGCAAACAAACACCCAATGCTGTTTTCTTTTCTTTTTTTTTTTTTTTGTAAAAATGAAAATCCTGTTTGGATTTCTTTTGGTTCATCGAAACAGGTACCAGTGACGTAGGTCTTTTGTAAAAGGGAGGTGGCATGACACAAACATTCGAAAAGCAGGGGATACCTGCAGCTTTTTAATCTGCAGTTGTGCTCTGTAAATTATTTTCCCATGTTTCACTCCCTTCCGGAGCATAGCAACATGGAATTTTAATTCAGGCTCCTAACTGACTTACGATGAATAATTATTATTGCTGTTACTGTTCCCTGGTTATAAACCTGCCTGCGTGGGCCACTAGGGGGCCTTGTGGATTTTGACTTCATCCAGACTTCTGTCCTAGGTTTGGGACCTTCCTGTTTCAGAACTCTTTGTTTTCTTAATCCAAACTTCACTGACATTGGAGACAAGTGTTTATTCCTAACACCTATTCTTTTTGCTGGCGACCAGTCAGGCTAGACCAGATCCGCACGAACGGTTGGAAGTTGTCTTTCCTCTCTTACCTTAAGAGGCTCTAATCATAAAGAATATCTGTTTGAAAAACATGATCTCTGCCTAAACTGTTACCAAGGGTTTCTGCTGGGGGGGTGGGATGGGCAGATAGGATGGTGGCTTTTGTTTTCACCCTAGTTCCCCTCTGCATGGTTTGAAATTTATCATGACCATGTATTAATTTCATAAAATTTTTTTAAATAGTTGATAAATTAAGCAAAGCCTTTTATCCTGCTTAACAAGTTAGTATGTACAACATCATCAAAGGAATATGAGAGTATATAGGTGTGTAAAAAAACCAGAAAGAAAATAACAAAACTTAATATTGGTGATTGGTTTTGGTCATGGAAGTAGGGGTGAATTTCATTCTCCTTTGTACTAATCACTTTTTAAAAATGTTCTATAGGGAGAGGTGCCTGGGCGGCTCAGTTGGTTAAGTATCCAACTCTTGATCTCAGCTCAGGTCTTGATCTCGGGGTCGTGAGTTCAAGCCCACGTTGGGGCTACTTAAAAATAAGAAATAAAAATGTTCTACAGGAAACACACAATGCCTTTTTCATAAAAAAAGGTTTTCTAAAATAAAGATCTGGGTTCCCTTCCAGGTCTAGTAGAGAGCACATTTGTCCCTCCCCGCTCCTCACTTGGTGTAACTTCAAGTCTCTTGTATAAAGTATAGCTTTGTACGACCTGTGTCTTGAAACAGGAGTTCTATTTGAATGTCGTTTTTATAGTAGTTGTCCACCCCCACCCCCCAATCCGTGGTTGCACTTTCCAGTTTGTCACCTGCTGTCAGCTGCAGTTGGGACGCAGATGATCCTTCTGGCTTACCGTCAGTGGCTTGGGGCAGCCCAGTGTGGCGTCACACCACCTGTCCTTCACCTCCCTTCACCTCGTCACAGGCATTTTATCATCTCACATCACAAGAAGGGAGAGTACAGAACAGTAAGATATTTTCAGAGAGTATGCTCCCTTCAGCAGCATATATACTAAAACTGGAAAGATATTTTGAGACCGCTTTCATAAAACTTACTATAGATTACTGTAATTGTTCTTTTCTGTTATTGTTGTTAATCTCTTACTGTGAGTAATCTATAAATTTTAGCATAGGTATGTATGTATAGGAAAAAACGTATATAGGGTGCGCTGTTATCCGTGATTTTAGGCGTGTGTTGGGGGTCTGGGAATGTATCCCCTTGGAATGATAAGGGGGGGCTACAGTACTGACCAGTTATAAGTGATAGGAATGCTGATAGTTTAGCTCATCAGCTCTAAGTTAACATTTGTTTGCCGATTATTATTGCCTATTTAAAGGATTTCAAAACAGTTTTCACATAAAAAACTCAAAGGTTCATAGTAACCTAACTAAAAAGAAAAGGACCATATGTTTATCTAGTGTTGGTAACCAAACTGTTCCAAGATCTTCATACCTTAAATAGAAATAAACCGGCTTGGAGAGATTCCTTTTTTTGTTCCAAAGATATTTCACTTACCGGTAATTGTAATAAAGATCGTTTATGTAACATAACGTTAAGCCTATTACCCTGAGTTAGGGGGCGAGGCGGGTGGACAGTGAGACAGTCACCATCTTCTCCCTAACATGGAAGAATACAGTTTCTAGAACTCTGCTGTGTGAGAAGTGCTCTGGGACTGTGGTAGAGGAGAGGGCTCCGTGGGGTGGAGAATTGGAGCCCAACGGTGAAGCCCGGGCCAGACTTTAAAATGTGGGCGCAGTGAGAGGACGGTGTGCGGGGGAGAGCAAATCCATGCTCGCTGGTCTGAAATAAACCCGTGGGATTCTTCTTTCAGGTTCAGGTTTTGAAACTGCTTGTGAATTTGTCTGAAAATCCAGCCATGGCAGACGGGCTACTTGGTGCCCAAGTAAGTAGCTGACATACTTGTTTTATAAGTATACAAATATATATAGATTTGGACAGATCTAGAAAGATTTATCCCAAAATGTTAACAGAGGTTATCTGTGAGGAGCACAGGGGTTTGTTTGGTTTTTGCCTACACGAATTTCCTACATTTTCTGTAATGAACCAGTTTTACTTGAAAAAACTCATTTTGGAAGGGTCCTCCCTCACAACCATAAATCATAATTGTTCTGTCTGTCCATTCTGGGGCACGCTTATGTGACCGCATCTCTTCCCCTTGACGTGGTTGTGTTCACACGTCTCTTGACGGGTGCTGGAACACTAATCCCCAGGACGCGCCACACACGGAGCCAAGGGCCAGGACACACCAGTGAGCACACCCGTGCAGCTTATGAGGAGAGACAAAAACACACACACACAAGAATTAAAAGCTGAGATAAGTGTTCTGAAGGAAGCAAAGGTGGTGTGGACACCAAACGGGCCTCCACTCCTGTAAGGGAGGGACCCGCTCCTCCCTGCACCCCGGCCCCAAGGGGACAGTGGACAGGCCGTGTCTGGGGAATTGAGGAGCCCCCAGGAAGATTGGATGATGGACCTTAAAAGGGGCATGGGAGTTGTTCCCAATGACTACCTTCTAGGACTCCAAAAAAATAGTATTTTTCAGCTAAAACAGTGAAACCTTCTTTTCCATTAGTATAAAGTGTAAGGGTGCATAAGATTTTTACATTGATGTTAGACAATTTTAGGGATAATTTTCTATGACCAGGTTTTTTTTTTTAAATGTATTCAGTATAGTTTTAAAATGTAAAAATATACATGAAAAATGTTTTCATAAATTATTAAAATAACAGTTTCCTCTTTCAGGTGGACTCCTCATTTCTTTCCCTTTATGATGGCCACGTGGCAAAGGAGATTCTTCTTCGAGTTCTTACACTCTCTCAGAATATAAATAACTGCCTCAAAAAAGAAGGCTGTTTAGCTATTCAGCCTACTTTCCCTAAAGGTGCCCTGTTTTTCCTGTTATATGGAGAAGAATGTGCCCAGAAAATGAGAGCTTTAGCTGAACACCATGATGTGGATGTGAAGGAAAAGGTGACAGTCCTACCCAAGTTCTGATTGGTCCCGGTTTTCATCTTCCCTCTTATTAAGGGAGCTGAAATTCGTCCAGCTGCTGAATCTAAACAGTAAATATCACATTTCATCATTAACACAGCTAGACACTGCCATGGTCTTCCGGTTTATTTTGAACCATTTTCTTGATTTAAATGAATAGAAGAGCTTGTTCTAACACCATTTCTTTTCATTTTGCCGTTTGCTGAGTTTACTTCAATTACTTCCTCAACGTGACAGGACAGTTGCCTTCTTTACATGTAAGCTAACCTTGCACCCGTCTGAGACAACATTCGTGTGTGACTGGCTAGTTGGTTCAGGGCTGCTGCAGGAACGGCCTTGTCCTCGTGCTAGTGAGTCGAGTCTTCGAGGCCACCGGCCAGGCCAGCCATACCGCTCCCAGAGGTCTAATCCTCGTCCTCCCCACTCCCAGCAGGTGTGCCAGCCTGTGAAGATGCAGTGTGTTGGGGGCTGGGGTCGATCGGAATGTCCATCCGTAGGCAACTGGTTAAAGCCGTTTATCTATCCCATCTTAAAAACAAGGAAATCTGAACATGCTCATGTGGAAAGGCATCCAGAAAATGTGGATGTGTTTTTTACATGAAAACTACGCTTCTATCGAGAGAATAGTTTCTAGAATGATACCCAGACTCCTGGGAGTGTGGGACTGAGGAAAGGACTTTTCTATGTATACCTTCTTCTAGCATTGGAATTTTTTAACCATCAGCATAAATTTTATAATTTTTTAAATAAAAAGGAAAAAACAAGGTTATACACATTTTCTCTTGATAGTACTTTATTCATTAATTTTCATCCATATTTTACTTAGCTGAGATTTTCATACATTGTAAATTTGTCATTATAGTGTCACAATAGCTTATGGAATAAAAATACTATTAATAGATTTCATTTCAGCCAGGTCTTATTCCAGTTCCTCACCATCACCATGCTCAGTACTAGGTAGATATCAGTAGGCAAGCAGCGGCGTTCCTACTCCAGGTATTTAAGGCAAAGCTGTACGAGTACGTTAAATTTCATTTGTAAATACATGGATTTCCATAGGAAGTCACAAATCCTCAAACAGGCAGGGTTAGCCTGATACAGAAATCAAACTTGCAAGAAATATTTTTACAGTAGAAAAAGGATTCAGTATTCAGGTGAAACCACGGACGTTCCCAGCTGGCTACAGCACTGATGGATAAATGCTGGCTATAAGTTTGCAATTCCCTGAAAGGCACACTTCTTATTAACGAATTTTTTAATCTGCCTCCTTATTTAATGAAAATACATAGTCAAAATGGGCACAGAATTAGAAAGTAGGATTTGGCTTTGATGGGCTTCAGCAGCATTGGATTCTAAAACCCCATCTCTCTTCTTTTCCCCCGTTTTAATAGCTCATCCCATTTCCTGGAGATCAGAGCATTGAGTTTGAAATGTCAAAATGCTAGAGAAAAAGGGGGAGTCCTTTTTAACTACCTTAAAAAGATTACGAAGTGAAAGTGCACAAATAGGTCTTCATCTATGTAGGTCAGGGCACATCTTGGCTTTTACTGGGTGAGATTTCCTGCAGTGAGTGATCCCCTCCCCCGGCTCTGGGCAAGGAGGAACATCTTTACCACAGGAGAAAGGGACTTGTCAGTAAAATCGCACAGGTTCCAATGGCTGCTGGCTAATCAAAAGAGCAAGATGAAACTGATCAGAGAAGACCAAGTGAAAGGCATTACGCCATACTTTGAATGGAGGCAAGAGAGTGGATTTGGCTTATTTTTCAAAATTTGGTTTTGCTTTTGTACTTAAACCCTTAAAAAATGTAGCTAAGTGAAAACATGGAAGCCACGCGAATCGAGCGCGATTCTACAAGGAGAGATGAAGCTCCATGTAGTTCTTCGCAAACAAAATGTCAGCGTAGAAAGAAGGTGAAGGGGATAAAAATTAAAGCTCGCGAGCAGGCCTAGAAAACACTGCAGGCCCAAGTAAGCGGAACTAGAAGGAAGTGCTCAGAGACCCGCAGTGACACGGTATACGTGAATGAGAGATCAGGTCAGGGCCACTCGCGGAGAAGACAAAGTAAGACGAACTTGGTCTGCTCCACAGAGCAGAGGGAAGAGGTGCATTCTCAACGCGGCATGCAAGAGCAAGGAAGGCGGCCACACAGGTGAGCGTTAGGGCACCTGCCCCGCGCGCCTCCCCAACCCCCGCAAGCTCGTCCACCATCAACCTACCAGCTCCATTCCCATCCGCTTGCTACAACGTTCCTTTGGAGTGAAAAGGTTTAGGGCTGTTCTGTTGGTTTTTTCCTGAAGGTTATTTGATGGGGAAATTGTGCTTTAGTGCCCCAAATCACATACATTCACATACATTATATACACATTTCCCCTGGCCCGATTTGCATCGCTGTAAGATAAAGATCATTGACATTTATTTTGGCTCTTACCCTCCGAATTTACAAAAGGAGATAAGGTGGTCAGTCCTCAGGGTTCATGTCCTACATATATATGCTTGAATCTGCAGCAAGAACAAGACACTATCAAAAGCAGCCAATGAGCCTGTTCTCAGCTTTCGGCTCTACCGATCTGTATCAGGCAGTGAGGTCTCCCTTATAGTTTCAAAGTGCTTTAAAAAAAAAAAAAAAATCACTATTCACATTTTTTTTGGAGGTAGGTCAAAAATGTCCTCTTGTTCCACATGAGGAAACTGAGGCACAGTGAGCATAGGTGACTTGTGGCAGGACACACAGAAAATCCGTGGTGGAAGTGGGATTAAAACTGAGATTAAGTGGCTAACAGGTGGAATGCATATATATGTATGTGCAAATAGATAGATTACCACCAGGGCAGCATTTGGTGTAGAAAACCTATTGCGATTATTCTGTGTGAATAAAGTTTACTTCACCGAGACTGGGGAGCAGGAAGACAGGCTGGGCCTCTGATGTATCCGACTGACTCTGATGAAAGGTTCAGAGCAGTCAGGTGACCACAGAGCCCTTACAGGACTAAACTCAGGTCAGCTAATTCCCCAAAATCATCATTTCTTTTTTAACTGCTAGTATTCCACACTAGCTCAGTCAAAGTAGAATCGTGCTTAGAGGTCACTTAATATAAAAATATAAGCCATCTGAATCCTGTAAAACAAAATATTTATAGACCTTATTGATATATTCATGGTTGGAGCTAAGAAATGAAGAGGGAAAATGAGTAGATGGAGAGAAAATGGAATACAGAGAATTATTTAAGATCTGCATTTATCTTTGTAAAATATTTCCTGGCAGCTATCTTTGTGCTTAGCAGGTCTGACTTTTAGATTAAAAATAGAAAATGTCACCCATCGTGTCCTCATAACCACCCCCTTTCCCTGCCCCTGTCCAGCTCCGTTTCTGATTTGGGATTGTAGACGTAAAACAGAAAATACTCTTCTTCTTTTAAAAAATTAAGTCTTTAAAAATGGGAACTTCGCCCAACCTCCTATGTTTCTATGCTTAAAAAAATAAACCACTTCACATGTGGCACATAAGCTAATCCTCACGGAGCCAGGAGAGCTGCTGTAAGCACGTGGGGGGCTGTGTCCTCACGCCCTCTCGTGTGAGTGTGAGAAACAGGTTTATATGTGTGGCCTCTGAATCTGTCTTGCTAGACAGACTCACCTTGTAGGAGGCCCTTAACCAGAAGAACAGAAATTAGACCTTAAAATCAGTTTTCATAACCTCCAAATTCTACCACTAAAAAAATGTAAAAAAAAGAAAAAAAATTCCATTGCAATGCTTCTACCATCGAGACAGGATTTGAATTCCCCTTTGCCAATTCATTATGTAAATGACCCACCTCTGAACTCCTTTCTCTGTATGACCTGGTAGGCGGAGTAGCAAGTTATCACGCAAAACAAAACACTAACTTGTCAAAACTGTTTCCAAATGTAAAAACTCCTCGTATTCATGAGTTTCTTAGTCTTCCCTGGCTTAGAGGGTACCTTTGTCACTAACAGCTCCTGTGCTCCCATTTATTCAGAGTTTTCATCATCAGTATTGAGGTGTCTGGATTCTCCATGCTTCAAGACAAAGAAATCTTCCGTCTTAAGTCCGTATCTTCCTAGGGCCTCACTCAGCTTCACCGGGGGCTCTAAGTAATGCTGGCAAAGGGCAGACAGGGGAAGAAATGGGAAAGGATTAACCATGCATACATGTGGGGGATATTTCAAGTAAGAGTTGACACTAAAATAACAAACATATACCAACTTAAAATAACGTCCTTTTCATTCAAGCATCAGCAAATGAGTCCATCACAGCTTCTGGATCATATAGGAAATTGCTAAAATATCCCCAATAAAGTGTAACTTTAACAGCCTAAGTCAAAATAGTTCCCTTGCAAAGTTATGTTAGTATAAGAGATTCGAAAATGATGAAACTCTTCCCCACCGAAAAATAACTTGCTTTGTTAAGTCTCACCCCCCCCACACACACACCCCGGTGCCTTACAAATCTTGGCTAACAACACACTTACACAATCACCCTACACTAATTGTTTCTTTGCTCATCAGTCACTTTAGTAATAGGCTCTAATCTTAGTGTGGATTTCGATGTTGCATTATCTCTCTGAGTGTCTTCATAGGTCAACTGTTGGCTGTTTTGGCCATTGAGAAGTTTACCCTAGAAGAACGCAAGAAAGCCTTCTGTATGACTGGGAGCAGTCTCATTGTGCAAACACTTTAGTCCCACAAGAGAGGTAAAAATGCCCCACGGCCACAGAACAAGTATGAATCCAGCAAGACAGCAGATTAGAGGTAAGAGTGAAGGGGCGGAGGAAGCGCCCACACTCTGGCTCCATTAAGAGCTGGGCAACCAGCCCAGCAACTCCTCAGTTCCCTTTTAAAGGGTCACTGTTTTACGATCTACTCCAACAGGAGATATTCAAAATAAAGGCCCTAGTCTTTTAAAAAGGTAACCTATCTTATGTGAGGCCTGAAATTGGTTTCCACCAAAACTAGTGGCTTTTAAGTTTTAGTGCTTAAATACATCATGTAGGAAATTCATAATTCCTGAGATAAAAATTGTACATATAGCAACATCTGATTTAAGTATTGCCAAGTTAAGGGCATCCTCAGCCTGCTTCTATTATAGTAAGTAGCTATTATAACTATTTTCATGCAAATCATTTTAAAGTGTTTACTCATAGGGTAAATATCCAAAAATTGCGTCCTCTCTATAATTTAACAAACTCATAGTTGTCCAGTTTCTACATCTAATGTCGAAGTGTGAACACATTCTAAATTGCTGAGACTTATTGAGTTGTTATAGGTTTCATTAAGAAATAAAGGTGGTAGTTAGATTTATAACAGGAAAAATTCCTGGGAGGCTGAACAACACAGTAACTCTTGAAGATGGAGGTTTCTATCCTCTCATCTTCCCCATCTCAGTAAAGAGCATGACCATCTTCCCAATTAAGTTGAAAATCTAGGAGTCATCCTTGATTTTTCTCTTTGAACAGGTTTAATAAAATAGCAGGACTTCATCTAAGTCTCAGTGTAGATCGTACATGGAACATACACACGTTATCTAGATCTATATACGTGGAATACACACATAAGATACATATATGGAGTAAGAAATGGCCACCGAATGGTACAGTATGCCACAGGAAGCCAGGATCCCAGTTCCTCTTCACATCCACACAGGTCCTCCTGTCTCATTCGTCCTCCCAGGCCCCAGGGTCATTCATTCATTCGCCCCCCCTACCCCAGCGTGATTCAGGGCTGGGAATTCAGACGGGTTGGAGGGAGGGGGCAG